ATGATTTCCATGCTTCTCCATAGTATCTATAAATTAAAATGTTTTTCATGCGGTATTCCCTTAATAAAGTTTTAATGTTTCATTGATAATTGCTTTTCTTCTTCTGGCCACACTTCATATGCACGTGTAGGTAGAATTTTTCTGTCGTCTGTGAGAAGTCCTACCGTTCTGCTAATACCTGAACACGTGTGTCCCGGTGCTGCAGGCATGCACTTGAAATGAACCAAGTGGGGTTTTAGGGCTTTTCATTTGAACTTCAAAGGGCACGGGGCTGTCAAGGGCCCACATCAAGGGAGCCACCTATTTACTCCTTAATAATGCATTGGTGTTTCAGGCTTCTCTTTGCAGCCTTTTTGCTTGGGGCTGTGAGAACTCAACTACTTCCTCTGCTGTTAAAAAATTGATCAGCTTTCTTTCCCTGATATTTGGAAAAGGAGAAATAAGATTAATCCATTCAAAATGGATAACTCAAAAGTATTCACTTCAGCCCTTCCTTACTCCAGCCAAAGTTTGAAGGCTGGATTAGAGAGGCAATAAGGTACAATAAACTTTAAAACTAGTAATTTAGGTAATAGGAAAAAGTAGGAAAAGATAAGATGGTTTCTACATAAGAAACTGGCTGTTGCAAACTAGGTCAGAAAGCCTGGCTTTTTCTAAGTGGCAATGGAACCCCCTATGTTACAGTCTCTTGCAATGAATCAGAATCTTGTGCAGAGGTGGGTGGGTAGGGGTGAGAAAGAAGGGGGGACAAGCAGGAACCTTGCATTTGTTACAATCTCCAGATGATTCTTATTCACACCAAAGTTTGAGAATCATGTTGCTCTAAATGTTTTCGCAGCCAATACAAAAAGGGAGAGATGTTTTGTTACATGATTGACAGTGTCCCTTAGATAGACACAAATCATTGCCCCAGAGAAGCACAAGAATTCCTCCTTTACTAAGATCAATGAATTTCTTCTCTCTGAGCGCTTAGGTGGCGATATAAAATCCATTAATATCAGTCTGTCTTTTCATAGAAAGTTTGTTGTAATAAGCTAAACTCGTAGGTCTTGGTTTTGATATCTACAGCAGATAAGTCATGCCATAAAATTCCTTCACCCACAGTATAGCAGGAGAAAGAGAGAAAAAAAATTACCTCTGTACTTACATATTAGATGAAGGAATCAAATAAATTACGTTGGCACCTTGTTCACATATTGCATTGTACTTCCCCCGCTCGCTCTTGTTCTGCGAGCCCACTCTTTTCAATAAGAGATGAAATCATCATTGGGGAGAGTTAAAGAGTGAGCATATTAGGGAATTTCAAGTATAGTCAGCCTGTGTGTTGTTCTCAGTGTTGGGAACTGAGCAGTCCTGTTGACCTTTATATCTTCCTGACGCTCCGGTGTGCCCTCTTCCCCATCAATTAATTCTTTGGCCTCATGAGCACTGATGGATGGAGCCCTCCTTTTTCATTTATCATGGAGCCCCTGCATCAAAGGCACATCTTCAATATAGTCATGTTCGGATCATTGCCATCTCCTATGAAATAAAAATCAAGAATTCCTTTCCTGGCTATACCATCCATCTCTGACACTACAGCTTTTCTCGTCAGTGAACCAAATAAGTAGGTATTTGCCATCCTGATTATGACCTACAGTCTCTCAAGTCCTTTCCCATTCTCCCTGTGTATGATCCTTGAGCTGGTTTCAAATGCTCTCCCAGACTAAACCCTGCAGTAACTAGCATCCTAAATTCCTGGCCTTTTTGTATTTTTTTCAATCCTGGAATGTGAGAAGTAGTAATACAGCTAATTGAAATCACTAATTATTTGAACTGTTAGGTAGAGCTAATCATTGCCTTTATGTTCCAGTACCACTTTACTCGATTCCTCACTTGAACTTGCCCCATTGTGGTGTAGTTTTTTGTTGTTGTTGTTTTCTTAAAGATTTTTATTGGGGAATTGGGGGAGGAGAACAGCGTTGGGGAGTCAGGAAAGGGAAACAGACAAGTTGCTGTCCTTTTGTTCTTCAGTTTAGTTGTGGAGGACATCGCTTTGCTGGCCATTGGAAGGCCACTCACAGTGGCTCATGGCAGCTCACAAAAGCACATGCCAGCTGCCAGCCAGCCCCACTGCAGCCTACACCGTCGCCAGCGACTCAGGGCAGCCCAGCTCCAGGTCTAGCTGTTGTTCACCATCTTAGCTGTAGAGGGTGCAGCGTCACTGGCCCTCATGTGGGATCCAACCCGGGGCCCTGCTGCGCAGAGCTGGCATCCCAAGCCAGCTCTTAATGTGCCACTCAGCCGGCTGTGGTGTAGTTTTTAAGCGTGTGACAGTCTCTCTCAGTGCAATGCAAGCCCCTGCCCTCTCAAACAGCCCCAGATATTACTTGCCTTTTTATCTCCTATTGTGCCTGGCACATACTAAACCCTGAATAAATATATTTGAATTACATGTAATTCTGACATTCAACCACGAGGTACTTATTTTCCATTAGAACATCTATTACTATAATATTGTGTCTAAGTATTTGTTGAATGGAATAGATAAGCAGAGAATGTGTTTCAGTGTCTTCTTTGTAGTATTTTGGCACCAAGAGGTAAACGATATGGATTATTTCATTTAAGAAAATACTGAATTTGGCAAAGAAAAAAATAAGTTAAAAGTGTCTTTCTCTGAAAACAAACATATTTCTTATGATTAAATCTTGTTTGTTTTATTTAAAATAATATTGGATTTACTTCACAGAGTTGGAGGCTTATGGTGCCTCAATATAATGTGTGACATGTTCTAATCTACAAAACTTCAATACCTTAAACAACACTTTTAAATAACATATGCTTATTATAGAAAATTGGAAACATGAAAAGAAGAAAAGTCACCTTAATTCCACCACCTAGATATAGTGTATCTTAACATTTTAGTGTATTTATTTGTCTTATTTTTCTGTGGTTAATTTCAATAGTTCTACCCTCTACATAGTTTTGCATTTTGCTTTTTTCACATTCACCTGCATGCGCCTGATCTATTTTTTCCAGTCTGATCCACACAGACTCAGAGGTATAAATAATGTGCATAAAGCTACATATCTTTGCATAATCACAGTTTTGTGTGACCATGCTCCAAAATATTGCTTTTATTAGAATGAAAGTTCTTGCAAACTTTTGCTTACAAACAAACCTTTGAGTCCATTGTAGCTTAAAATAAAATACTGATTCATTCCCTGTTGATAGCGCCCAGAGCAGGGTTTTTCATAAATTAAATGCCAGGACCTGCCCTCTTTTCTCACTCAAGCTCTTAAGCCTCCTGAGAGGAATTTTAAATAGACTGTCACCTTTTTTCCTCTTGTTTGCTTTAATGGGGCATTCGATGGCACAACGTGGAACTAGAGGGACAATAAATGATGGAAACAAGACTAGTTTGTATCATTGTTTGGGTAAAAATTACTCACAAGTCATATACAGTAATTTTTTTACTGCTCTCTTCCCCAGCTGTGAGGGTACCTGGGAACTCAGGGCTGGCCAGTGGGGCACAAAGGGTACAACTGAGTCAGGAAATCATGGTGGTGAAGAGTGTGTTGAAACTAAACCATTCAAAACACAACCTCCACCCTTTCCTCTCACCCTACTCCAGAAACATTTTTTTATTTCTTTAAACCTTCTGAATTATTTGAATACTTTATTTTGCATATATTAACTATTATAATAATTATTATTATTACTTATTTATTTTTGTTTTTTTTAGCTGAGCCATCCTGCCATCTGTTGGCAGCTCGGCAGCAGCTCAGCTCGGGCCGGGAATCGAACCACTGTTGCTCAGAGCTCAAACTCTTGAGCAAGCTCTTTAACCAACTGAGCCACTCGGCCAGCCCTATAATTATTTAAGAGATTAAAATTTAGTCAGAGGTAGACTAAAAACCACTAAATTATACACTTTAAAAAGGTAAGTTTTATGGTATGTGAATTATATCTTAATATAAATTTGAAAATAAGGCAAAAAGAGAGAGAGAGAGATAGAAGGCCATTTCATCTATTAATTCATTTATATAAACATTTACTAAGTGTCTAAAAAAAAAAATAGAAGCCTGCTTTGGCGATGGCAAAGGTGTATCACACATAGACTATTTTGGGGGGAATTTATAGTCTAGTAGAGGAGATATGATGTGTATTTAAGTAACTAATACCAGAGGGAAGGTGATATGTATTAAAAGAGAAGTACAGATAACGTGCTGAGGAAAAGCAGAAGGAAAGATTAATTTCCAACAGCAAACGTTGAAGAAGGAATTTAGAAGAAAAGTATTTGAGTGCTGATTGATTTTCCATGAATTAATGGAGAGTTGATCAGGTAGGTAGGTTGGTAAGAGTTGGTGGTAGTGAGGTGGAGTAACCCCCTGATTGCTCACACTTTCTCAGGGAATATTAGGTGAGATTTCACCTGAGGCTGGATAGACTGGGACAGTGGAAAGAAGGGAGATACTAGGAACTTATCCTTTGGAGAGTTGTAGAGTGTGCATCTTTCACGTGATATCAGTGTGGGTGTTTTATTTAGAACCTTTCAGCTGCTAGGTGTAAATGAAATGCAGAGTGGAAGAATAACTGGATATAAGTAAGCAGCATTGGAGTTTATGACATTAATATGACAAAGGGGGAACAGGCCAGGGAATTTGAGAATGGTGAAAAGAAAGTAATTCTAAGGGTTTGGGGAAGTAAGTTTTCAAAGCAGTGTTAGTATCACCTGGAAACTTGTTGGAAATGCAAATTTGTGGTCCTAGAATCAGAGGTTCGGGGTGGGGCTTGGTAATCTGTGTTTTAACAGGACCTCCAGGTGATTCTGTAACATGCTAATACCTGACAACCAGGGGTTTGGGAACTCTAAACTACTTAAGGCAGTAAATAAAGGTATGGGAAAAGGGCAGAAATGATGATGGTGGATAACTAAGAAAAAGTAGAGTGTATATATGGCTGAACATCTCCATGAAAGGGAAGAATTGTGTGAATGGAGGAATTCAAGTAAGTGAGCCATGAGGGTTGGCAGTGCTGGTCAGAGACTAGGATTCTTGGAGGATTTAGAAGTGGAACAGTTGAGAGACTCACATGTTGAATGGGTGGTCCATATTGGTGCTACTCTCACCAAGAATCATGACACAGGGGTAGGAACGGAGAAGAAAATTGTGAGGCAGGTACTGAAATCACCGTTGGATGAGGAGTGACAAGAAAGCTACGGGAGGGTTAGAGGATGGTCTAGTCTGCCTCATGTCTTTCCCCTCGTCATCCTCTCCCCTTCCTCAGGTGTATAGGATGGGACATAAAAATAGCCTGGACTCTACTTCCAAGCTGTAATAAGACGGTGCCCTCATGTGCAGACTTAGAGCACGAGGCACAGGGATAGAATGTGGGAGGCTGGGATGAGAGGAAGATTGAGTCAAATTAGTGAATCTATAGGTTAGTGTGGAAGTAAATGACCAGGTGGAAATGGGTGACCTGAAAGTCGTGGACTCCTACTTGTTACTGAAATAAGCATGGATGTGAGACATGATGAGGCAACGTGAGAGCCCTCTTAGCTGACATGATTAGGATCAGCACTTGTTTAGTTAACTGCAAATGACAGTTAGGAGAAAACGATGCATTATATCCCTGCAGCATTTTATTTTTAGTTGTATAGTAATTGATCATATCCACTGCTTCAACTTCCAAATTACTTTTCTTGTATAAACCACACTCAGTAATGCCATTTATGAATTCCAGGTTTGGTTTCTTTCGAGTAAAGGAAGAACTGAAAGACACTGGAGAAAACTCAAGGGGAGAATCTTTCTAGACTTTTTTATATTTTATCCCTAACTTTTTATGATTGTGTTGCTCACATAATTTTTTCATAATTTACCTTTATTTTCCCTTTTCAAAGCATACAGTTTTGTTTTTAACACAACTCTTTTAGCATTTTATGTTCTATTGATCTTTGTTTTATTTTATTAAATTATGTAATTACAATTTCAAGCATAAACAGCTTTGGGAACAACCACACCTGAATTGATGTACATCCAGTTCAACAAATGGGAGATAAGAGCCTGTGTGAAGCCCTAAATATTCAATGTCCTGTTGGTATATGTTTCATAGAAAGAATAGGTGAATTTGGCAAGTTGATGAGTTGGAGGTCAGATTAGAGCTTCTATCATTGTTGCATAGTGGAAGAATAGTGATGCATAGAGGAAGGTCAATGACCCTGTTAAGCTGGGTGAGAGGAGATTTCTCCTGAGGTTTCCAGAGGTGTGAAGCCAGTGTGAGGGGACGGGTCCCTGAGAGGAAGAATAGATCACCTATGGAATACTGAAGATCTGTAGAAATCCCTTGTAACTTCCTTTGGAACATTTTTACTTCATTCTTTCCAAAAGATTAATGAAATTATTTAACTTATGAAAATGGTCTGGTAATATATTAAATGAGATTAATTATTAGCTTCCTGAAGATTAGCATGATTTTTGGATCATTGCTTGATTTAAGAATAGTGTGATAAAAGCAACTACTATGTTAGGACAAAACACATGGATGATCTACATGAAATCCTGATTTCTACTTTTCTAACTCTTTATTTTTGGCTCTATGGCTTCACCAAATACACAAAGATTTCTGAATGTACAAAATACATAAAATAGATTAAAATTTTTTAATCATTTTTTAAACCATTTTTAAGACCTTTGTATTTGGGTGAATCATTTTTCTCTTAAAGCTGTTGATGTAGTTTCCATAGTTATCCATATTTTTGACTGTATAAACATCATCCCAAGAGGAAAATATATATTTTTTCAGTTAAAAGAACATCTTTTATTAGAATGACTTTAAATCTGTAGTCAATGTACTTTGGCATATGATACAAATAAATACATTGATAATAGGAAGAACTAAAAGAGCCAAACAACGTATCTTAGATAATAGGACTCTCATGGCTTACAGTCAATCAGCTATGCTCTGTAAGTTCCAGTCTTCTCATTTTACTTGGTCTTTATCCCAAGTATGAACATGACTCCTAAGACTTTTGAAGAAGACAAGGTTTGTAGATGACTAATTTGGAAGCTATCTGTGACTCTGCTAGCACATATCACCTTTGTGCCACATGAATTAAAATAATTATGACTAAAGTTCACGTTTTAATTTGTCTTGTTTAGATTGTTTGTCGGTGTCAGGAAGAGTATATTCCATATCTCTTACATTCATGAAATTAAAGTCTTTGTAGTTTCATGCCATAAAAAGTTTGTCTTTATTATGAACTGGTAAGTTGTGTTTTGTAAGACAGGCAAACCTATCATTTACAATTTTACTTTGGCTGCCAGGAATTTTAGAGCTAGCTTGTATCAATTATGCAGCTGAAATTTTTGTATAATTATGTTCAACTTCTTCCTTCTTACTCTCTCTTCTCAGTCTTTAATTTTTGTTTTAGCAATTCTATCATGTGTTTTTTAATAAATATTCTCAATTCTTTTTTGAGAGTTGGTGGTAGATAAATTCAACAAATGACAATTGAGTACCTACTTCTTGTTGTTCAATTAACTCTGGTTTACTGACAATAGTGAAAAAGATAGGTTCTTACTTCAAGAAGCTGAAAAAAAATAGAAATAACTTTTTCAGACATTCCTGTTCAAATAGAACATAAAATAGGTATTTTGCTGGGCATATCAAGTGTTCATGTTTAGTCTTTTATTGTTAGTTAAAAGTCATCATTAGGACAGATTGCTATTACCAAATACTATATGTTTTCTAGAGCTATTTTATTGGGTTGTTGGAAAAGTCATGATGTATTTTTTTCTATGTTTTTCATTGCAAAAATGCGTCATGACTTTTCCGACAACCCAATATTTTAGTCAGATTTAAAATTCAGGACTGGAAGCTGGGTCTCACATAACCTCTTGAGGTAGCAGTGCACATACAGTCCCGCCTTTTTTGTTCTTAGATGTCTGCAGAGAGTTGTGAAGCTGGTCTTCAGTGAGAACGCACTGCCCTCAGGCCTTTCAACTTCACCCTGGGAGAGAGATGGTACATGTAAGATGACCAGAGGTTGTCCAGGGAGTCTTTGAAGAAGATAATAGTCCGATAGGTATTATAAAATGATGTTGAAAAGAGAGGCATCCCTACTTTGAGTCTAAAAAGGGAAGAAAGCCTTTTTCTGTTGTTCATGTTGTTCTTTTATGAAGAAGACTCTCTTATGCTTTGTGCAACTTTAGAATGAATACCCAGTCCCTTGAAAATTCAAACTACTACATAAAGGCTTAGAACATTGTAAATACATTGGTGGCCCATTACATAAGTGGTTGGCCTGATAGCATCATTTATGAAAACACTGGAATGCACACATTTTGAAATGTAAATTAAATGTATCTTTTCACCACTCTGTAACCTAACTTTTAAAAACTAGGTTTGTGAATTATTCTGACCTAGATATGTCCTTCCCTGCACATATGAAAGAGAATATAGTTATTGCCTGAATTTTTCTGGAACTGGTTACCCTTTAAGTGAAAGTCCTTACCTTCATTCCTTACCTTCTCATTCTAACTGTTGGACTTTTGCTTATTTTACTGCTTATTAGCATCCTTATGTGATAGGCAGAAAAATCCCCCCACCCCAAAAATGCATGTTGTAATCCCCACAACCCATGAAGATGGTATATTACATGACAAAGAGAAATTAAGGTTGCAGATTTGATTAAATCAGCTAATCCATTTACCTTAACATAGGAGATTATGCTGGTTATCTGGGTTGGCCCAATGTGATCACAAAGGTCCTTAAAGGTAGAAGAGGGAGGCAGAGTAAAGTGACATGAGAGGAACCTGACCCACCTTTACTGGCTTTGAAGATTAAAGAAGGGGACTCCTCACGCCACAGAATTCAGGAGACTTCCAAAACCCAGAAAAGGCAAGGAAACCTGTATCTTAGAGCCTGTGGAAAGGAATGCCCTGCTGACTGACACCTTTGATTTTTGACATCCAAAGAAAATCAGGTCAGATTTCTGACCTACAGAGCTGTTAGATAATAAATCTGTGTTGATTTAAACCACTAAACTTCTGGTGATTTGTTATGGCAGGAAAAAAACTAACACACTTACCTTCATTTTCTTTTCCAAGAAAATGAAGATGAAACTCAGGGCAGTCCATCCAGGAAAAGATTTAGTGTGGGTGGAAGTTGCAACTCTATCTGACAGGGAGATATAAGGCCATTGAATTTCAGCCCCTTTTCTCACTGTTTCCCATTAATACAGAAAATCTACAGGTGCCTGTTGCCAGAATAATGGCCTGAAATAAAATGCTTCACCAATATACCTTAGTTTCAGTCCACTTCCAGTCTGCCCATGTGGCTTTCATCAGAGTGATCTTTTTATGGAACACATTTAATTGTGATTTCTCTTTAAAGTCCATTTTATGATTTCCACTGCCTACAGATAAAAGCCCAAACATGTAGCATGGCAGCCAAAGCTCCACTATCACAGAAGCTTCTGCTACTGTCTTATGTCACACTTCTCTTTTTTCTGCACCTTCTGTTCAGCCAAGGTAAGGTTCTCACATTCTGTGAGCCTAGCAGAGTATTTTATACTTTTCTCCTTCTTATGTGTCATTTCCTTTACCACCGGTGTCCTGCCAGATCATCATACCTGCTGGCAAACCCCTATGAATTCTTCAAGAAACTCAAACGTTAATTCCCTGGAAAATCAAGAAACCTCCCACATCAAATAAAGTTATTGTGTCTGTCCTTTATGCCACATTGTGACATGTATACCTTGCGATATTAAAATTATTCCCATTTGTTCCTCTTATACTAAACTGTGAGCTTCTTGCGGGTAACAACTGGGTCTGGTGGCATATCTGTGGGATCTTAGTATCTCACACAGCTTATATAGTAGGTACACAATAGATAAATATTAAGTGAATGAATGATTGTATTATCTGACCTGGCCAGATACAGAGAACAATGAAAGTGCAGGGTTCCGACTGCCAGGCCAGCCTTTGGTTACACTCTGCCTCTAAAACTTAAGTACTGTAAGAGAAATTTTCTTATCTAACTAGGGAATATTTTATAGTTTAAATAAACTCTGACACTGACCAATTTATTTTGTTTGATACCACTCCTCTTTATATCCCTTAATACTTTCAATTTTGTGATTTTATTGTATCGAAAATGAAAACATTGAAATTTTCTGTTTTATTTTTTCTATGGCTCTATTTGGAAGAATTATTTTGTGCAACATATGTTTTTATCCTTAAAACATGGAGAAGGCTGTAATTTAATAAAATAGCATAACAAGTAAGAAATTTTTTTGGCTTACAATATTTCAGTTTTCTCTAAGCATTTCTATTTTCTGCCTTTCTAGATTTGGTATTTATGTGAGTTTCTCAGTGATTGCATATAGGTTTGACCTTGATACACAGGTCTTTATGAAAATGAGATAATGTACACAGTAAAACTTGGAAGCTGTGAAGCACTACTCAGAGGGAATGAATTGTTTTCATAATTTTTGTTATTACTTTACAATCTGACTGCAAAGTGTTCACAAAGTCTTGATGATGGGAGTAGTTCCACTGGGAATTTCTCTTTTATAACAGCTGTCAGAATTCAAAATCTTAAAATGGTTGGCATAATTTGTAGTGTGATCAGTAAAGCACATCCTTCATGCTGCATAGTAATTCATAAGTTTGGTTTACTACTTTCAAACATAAAAACTTTGTATTACTATGACTGAATCTATGTTGGTGTTAGTATTGTATATAAAATCATCATTTAGAAAATGGTAGAAGCATCGATGAATCAATGAGACTTAAATGTATTTAAAACAAATTTTAGTTTTGAAATATTATGAAAATGTTGATAAATATCCAAAAACTGTAGATTGTAACTATGGAAATATGAAGATTGATTGAACACATTGCCTGAATGCCCACTGTTGGATTGAGGTGAAGCTAACTTGGTTTAGAATGGCTGGAAAATCTAGGTCAATCCATGGTTCAGAGTGTATCTTTAGGATTTGACTTCTATCATATTTTATAGGTGATTCAGCAGGAGTTTTTCGCTTCCTTTGTTTTAAAGTAATCTTCTTATATAGCCTCTGATATTTTCCCCAGAAATGTAATGATCTGTGAGAAACATGTCATCTTTAAATGTACCAGATGTACCTCCAATTGCGCATCAACAAGATGGCGTTATGGTTTTCTAAGAGCCAGTCTCCAGTGAATTCATTTAAGAGGAAAAAAAAGCATCTGCAGAACCTACTCATGCAGATCGTGCTAGAGACTTACCAAAGGGTACACTTCTCTAGGAACCACAAAACCATTGTTATGTCTGTCATGTCAGTTTTTCATCTCCTTCCGGGATGCCAGAAAAATGGGCGCATTCTTACTCCTATGTCTTCTTCAAAGAGATTCCTTCCTTGTACCAGATTTCTGCCATTATATCTTTTTCCTTATTATATGCAGTGAGGCTCTTTACTCTTATAAGTACATCATTGCACAGTGTATGATGACTCCTACTTCATCCCATGGACTTGGAGCTTATCCTTGATAATTTTAGTGAAACAATTAGCAGCCCCTGTCCCTAGTTGTGGGGTACGTTTCACTTTTGAAGCCTGCAGCCCTCTATCCACTTGCTTGAGTGTCTCATCTTGATTATATAAAGTCCAAAATAAATTTATCTGAAAAGTCTTTTTATCATGATCCTTTAAATGTTTGCATTACTTCCCACATTAACTTGATGTTATTACTGCAGCTATTGCATGGCTTTTTTGAGGTCAGGTATTTTTCTTTTTGAATAAGTCGTTTCTTTGAGTAACTATCAGCAACAATCGTTTTATTCTTGCCTCATAGGTACTACAGTGCAACCATTCTGCAGATGTCGGGTGTTGAAGATGATAGACTCGCGATATGGCTGGCTTCAGTTACAGCCTTCACAAATTTCATTTTCACACTCGTGGGAGTCTGGCTCGTTGAGAAAGTGGGCCGCAGAAAACTTACCTTCGGTAGCTTAGCAGGTAGGTGGCTGAATGAAGAATTCAATGATAAAATTTTCTCTAATGATGACAAGTTAACTGTCCAACATTCAAAACCAATACCATTTCTGATAATGTGTTTTGCACCAAACAATGGAGCTCCTTTAAACAAAAAGCTCGTTAAAAAGAACTTGGCAAATGTTATGATTTGTAACTAGAAATTAGAATGTGACTAATCACTAGAATTGTAAGAACAATTTGAATCTACTGAGGGTAACATTTTGCTGTTATTATTTTGAGGTTTGCTCAAAAGGACAAAAGTGACAGGAATAATCTCTTTTTGTTCCTCCTTGGTTGAAAGAAAAACTTGGTATTCATAAACTCCCTTTTTAACATATGTTTTATTTTTAAGTTTAGAATAATATGGAAGTAAATCTGGAACATTTTATATCAAAGCTCTTTCAACAGTGGAATATTAGAACCATATAATTTCTTCACAAAGCAGGGACAAACTCTTTCTGTATTTGAACCAGGCCTAAATTCTGGGGCAAATTCTGGTTCGTTAAGTTTGTTTCCTATGATAGCTAAATAAAATAAAACCTTTCTCGCTTTCAAGTATCTTTAGTCTTTAAATGCTGCCTGTTTCATTTATCATTTTTCTATAGCACATGGGCTGTTTTACCTGACAGAAGAGAACCCATCTTTGCTATTGTTTTAGCATGACTGCATACTGTAATTTTCTAATCTTTTTCATCTATACAAGTGGATTCCTACTTATCAAGTACAATAGCTGTCCTCTGATAGCTTCTTTATAAGTTTATTTAGAGTAAGGATACATTTTTCCATTAAAAGGTAAAGTTTCCATGCCAGCATTAACTAGATTCTGTTTTAACCAAATTATCCCTAAAACATTAATAGCAGAACTGCTTCAGGCCCTGGTCCCAGATTGGATGAGAAAATACATTCTGAGTTTCATACTGAGTTATTAAGAACATATGCTCTCTCCCACCCCTAATTCCAGAAGGCAGAGTGGAATGCGTCCACCCTCTGCTCTTGCCTTAGCGGTGGAAGACCTTGAGTCCAGTGATGTAGGTTGAACTGCAGTCTCAGCACTGAGGGGAAGGTGAGGGGAAGCTTGTCTGGCGAAGTCACATTACCCAGGGAAGTGGGAGGAACAAGTGACGGTTTAAAAACCATACATTTATAGACCTGTTAGAGAACCCAGAAGTGTTTAGCCTAGAAAAAAAGTCTACAGGGAGATCTAAAGGTATCTTATTCTAGCAGATGGTAGATGTTATGATGATTTTTGTAGATGTTCATAGATTTTTACTTAATGTAAGAAAAATATTCCTAATAATCAGAGCTATCCAATTATGAATTGGAGTGCTTCCTTACAAACTCTCAAAAAAGAAAAAAAACAAACAAAAAAAAAAACAAAAAAAGATAGATGGCCATTAGTTAATGATGTGCTAAAAATCAATTTCTACAGTTGGTTGGAAATTGAATTTGCTAACCCCTGAGGTTCAGGTCAACTTTAAGAAGAGGTGATAGCCACTTAAATTTTTTTGTAAATGGATACCCTATGTTTTTGACAGGACTTAATACATTGTTACCTTAAGAGGTCTGTTTTTCATGTAGAATTTCAGATCTTCTTAAATTTGGGATTTGACTTTTGAGATCTGGGGAATCTGTGATTCTGAGATCCGGAGAAAAAACTTTTTTCTAGCAACCTCTTTTCCTTCATTTGTTGTATTTCAATGAGATACTTTCTCATCAATTCTGCAGGATTTTGAGGCATTACAGAGCCAGACTGTTTGGGTTTGAATTGTGTGACCCTGAGCAAGTTTCCATTTCCTCATCTGTAAACAGGGATTAACTATAGTCCCTACTTTATAGGGTTGTAATGAGGACTAAACACACTTAAACATGTATAGCATTTAAAACACTGCCTGACACAGACAGTAAACTTCCTGGGGCATTTTAGCTATCACAGCATTATTACTGCCAAAGAGTGATTTCTGTTGTTGTTTTAACTATAATGTGAAGTCAATTTGCACCATCAGAACACAGGAACGTTCCTGAACCTTTCTAGCTGGTGTCATGTTTCACCTCTCAGTGTAGGTCCTTGCCCGAAGGCTTTCCAAAGCCCCTCCTGACTGTTAAGAGAAAGTATTAAGACAGTTATTTGGGGGCAAAGACCAAGGGGTTTTAGTGACTGCTTCTTAGAAGCAACCTATGGCACTTTTCTTTCCTGCCATGTTCGCTTTTCAACCCAAACCACCAACACGCCAGCCCCGCCCACTACCATACCGCACGGTGCTGCCTCCAGCTTGGGAGACACCTTCCGTCAAGGAGGCACCTGATTTCCTTGTGATGTGGCCAATTAAAATGATGATGTAGATATTACAGTGGTTTAGGGGGTAAAGGGCCTGGTTTATTTCTCACAGACCTCCTCTTTACCTGTACATAAATGTAAATAGTGCTGTTTGTACAGTTCTGGTTTTTAACTGTTATTAAAAAGGTCACAATAGTACATAATGACCAACAGAAATTTACACCTTCAGAAGAAAACAGCCATTAGTATACAATCATCCCTCCATATCCATAGCAAACTGGTTCCAGGACCCCCAGCTGAAATCTGCCGGTGCTCAAGTCCCTTACATAAAATGGCATAGTATTTGCATGTAACCTATGCACATTCTCCTTAAATCATCTCTAGATTACTTATAATACCTAATACAATGCAAATGCTATGTAAATAGTCCTTATACTCTATTGTTTAGGGAATAATGACTAGTAAAAAAAATGTACATGTTCATTACAGACAGAAATGTTAAAGGTCTAACTACTTAGTACACATCAGCAAAATTGTAGCTTTTTTTCCCAACTATTTTCTATCCTTGGTTGGTTGGATGTGGAACCTTCAGATGCAGAGGACCGACTGTATTAGTATTACACCAGCACGACCCATGTAATAGATGTTTATGTGCCTTTCTGATACCAGTTGATTCGGGGTTAGTCATATTGGGTTGTCAGAAAAGTCATGACGCATTTTTGCAACAGATGGCGCTAGTTCATTTTTGGAAGTACTAGAGTCATTTGCATCTATGTCATTGCTATGTTATTTGACAGCTGACAGTTCTAGCTTCATTCTAAAAAAAAATTGAGCGATTTGGTTGAGTTTTGGAGATTTTACAACAAGTTGAAGATGGAAGACCAAACTGTGCATTTTTGCCGTATTTTACTGTTTTACTTCCATAAAGGGAAGAACGCACGTCAAGCTTGTGAAAAGTTGCATAAGTTTATGGTGACAATGCTCTACATGAACATCAGTGCCAATGATGGTTCACGAAATTCCATGCTGGTGATTTTGATCTCAACTATGCTCCTCGCTCAGGGAGGCCCACCGAGGTTGATGACGACAAAATAAAGGCATTGATCGAGTCGAACCCACGTTGCATGATACAAGAGATTGCAGAAACATTGAACATCTATCATTCAAGCATTCACGACCACCTGAAGAAGCTGGGATACATAAGCAAGCTCGATATTTGGGTTCCGCATGAACTCAAAGAAATTCATTTGACGGGGCGTATAAATATCTGCAATGTGCTCATTAAAAGAGGGAAATGATCCTTTTTTGAAGCGACTGATAATCGGTGATGAGAAGTGGATTGTTTACAACAACGTGGTGCACAAACAGTCTTGGTCCCGATGTGATGATTTGCCTCAAACGACATCGAAAGCAGACATTCATCAGAGGAAGGTTATGCTCTCAGTGTGGTGAGATTTTAAAGGTGTCGTGTTTTTCGAGCTCCTACCAAGGAACCAAACAATCAATCAATTCGAATGTGTACTGTCGGCAGTTGGACAGTTTGAATGAATCCATCATCCAGAAACATCCAGAGCTTGTTAATTGTAAAGGAGTTGTGTTCCATTGCGACAAGGCGAGATCACACGCAAGTTTGATCACCTGTCAAAAATTATTGGAGCTGGGATGGGATGTGTTGCCACACCCACCATACTCACCTGACTTTGTGCCATCAGACTTCCACTTGTTTCGCTCTCTTCAAAACTCCTTGTGTGGTATAACGTTCAATTCAGATGAGGCTTTAAATCAGCATCTTGTTCAGTTTTTCGCAAATAAAGACAGGTCCTTCTATGAACGAGGAATTATGAAGCTCACTGAAAGATGGCAAAAGGTTATTGAACAAAACAGGTAATATATCATTGATTGATCTTTGTTCTTTATATAAATAAATAACCTTTGAAAAACATAGAAAAAATACATCATGACTTTTCCAACAACCCTATAGTTTTATATCAATGTTTTGGTTTTATTCATTTGTATGTAGGTAAATATTTGATATTTTAATAGAGCTTAGTATTAGACCACTGTTCTATTTAAAATTTCTTAAATTAGCCTAGAATTTTTAAACCTCTGATTCAATTTTGTTCCCTATTTTATGTTTTTTTATGAGTTGCTTTATTATAGTGGGTTAAAAATAGTGGGAATAATTATATCAAAATAATTTAAATAATTTTTGAATAGGTATTCATTTTTTAAAAATCACTATAAATAAACTATATTTAGGTAGACCTGGACAAAGAAACTCTTTATACAAAGAAAGCTAAAATATGTAGTCCATGAATAATTTTAAATGTGGGACTTTTGGTGGTTTTCTGACTTTGAATATTTTCAAAGCTTGCTTAGAGAAGCCTTCTTTCTTGTAAATATTACAAATTTAATGACAACCTCTTGATTCTTCTAATAGAAGAAGCTTTATATCTATGTAACTTTATTGCTTATAAATAAGAAAGCCAGACACCCTGTGTTATATTGTCCCCAAGATATTTTGGTAGTGGAGTATTTCTGAAAACATCACTCATAACCTGTCTCCATCAGGATTACCAGGGGTACTTATTTTAAAATGTGGATTCTTGTGCCCTACTCCAGATCTGCTAAATTAGAATCTTTTCAGATGGGTATGGCGCATGTGCACTTTAAACAGCTTCCACGGGTGATGCTTATACACACAGAGTGTGCTCTATTAGAGTCGTGGGAAGGGAAATTTTTTTTTCTAAGTATTTACTAATAATCTCAGCCCTGCACCAGGTTAATGTAACTTATTATATCAGATATTTTTGAGAATGCTCTTTATCCAGCACACTTCCTGTGGAGAACATTGTTTGGTAGATGATAATAACTTAGAAGGATCAGGAGTACTAATCAGTTGATGATCATAAATTGCTGTGCAATGAACTACACTATGGCAATAAATATTTTTATTTAAACTTTAAAAATTGATGTCAGGAAACCTATTTCATTATTTACATCATTAAAAACTTAGTCATTCCTTTTCTGTATCAGAAATTCATAAAACTTTTTTCAGCCTCTCTGGCCGGCTTTCTACCTTTAGTTGACCTGTCAGTAAGTATATCAGTCTTATTCTGAATCTAAATCCCTACATCTAAATCAGATGTCAGACCAAGGGAGTATTCTGTGTTGATCAAACAACAGCAATTTTTTAAAAATAATTTATCAGAGATAACTGTGTTAAAGACATTTTACTTAAAATATCCATCAAGAAAAACAAAGTAGAACATGCCCGTTTTTGTTTATCCTCACTGTGGCTGGAACGATGGTCAGAAATTGTAAACTTTCTTATTTACCATCAGATATCTCTCAGGGACTCAAAAATGAGTCTTTTAAGTAATATACTTAATCACCATTCCTACACCTTAAAATCAAAAACAAATATCCCAAGTACCAACGGGAAAGATAATGAACACATGTGTTATATCACTTCTGGCGTCGTAAAGTCTTCAAAAAATGCTACTCCTCTTTAGTAAGAAATGCTGCTTCAACAACTTTTGAAATATTCAATTTGTGACTTTTTAATTTATTGATTTTGGTCTTACATGATCAAATGTCATTAGGACATTTTCTTGGCAGTGAAAGAACACTTGTGTAAATCTGTTGCTTTTCATACTTCCTGACATGTTAGGCACTCAATAATGTTGGTTACTCTAATTGATTTTGAGACTGTCAGCAATGTGAGGTATTTTCTTTTTTTTAGAAAATCATTACCAGTCTATTGCTTGCCTAGCAAATGCATTTGCTTTGAATGTCAATGTTGTCATATCTCACAATGAATGTGCTAGTGAGTTTTTCTGATAATTTGTTATTAGGAACCTTTTTGCAATCCAATGAAGATAGATCAAAGTATATTTCAGAGCTATGTCTTACCAAACCCAGTCTACTTTGGAAGATGTTGTCAACTATTCTCTGACATTTTTTGTTTGTTTGTTTGTTTTAGGTACCACCATAGCACTCATTATTCTTGCTTTGGGATTTCTGCTGTCAGCCCAGGTTTCCCCACGTATCACTTTTAAACCAGTAGCCCCATCAGGTCAAAACGCTACCTGCACAAGATACAGGTGAGATTTCATTATGGTTCCCTTTCTAAAAATGCTAACTCTGAAAATGGATTTGTTCATTTTTAACTTTTCTAAAATTTGAGAAATGAGTAAAAGCTTGCTTATGGAAAAGGTAAGAAAATGGGAAGGGAGCGAGAGACCACCAGGAAAAGGAAAAGATATATGAAGATATGAAGGTGAAAGTGTTGAAGGAAATGTGAGTTGCTCGACACAGTTTTGGTGGTGTTTTCCTGGAAATTAAAAGTAGGGATTGATAGGGCCGACTGAGTGGCTCAGTTGGTTAAGAGCTCGCTCAAGAGTTTGAGCTCTGAGCAACAGCAGTTCGAGTCCCAGCCCGAGCTGAGCAGCCACTGAGCTGCCAACAGGCAACAGGTAATGGATGGCTCAGCTTAAAAAAAAAAAAAAGTAGGGATTGATGCAGAATCTAAGCAGAAATACTGTAAAACTATTTTAGGTCATATGTGACTTAGTGACATCTACATTCCAGCTGAAATAAATAACTTTAATCAGTAATTAAACTTTTCCATGATGTACATGTCTGATATAGTTATCATCTGAATATTCTAACAGTTCCTCTTTACTGAGTTCCACAGGTATCCCCTCATTCATTTGAGCAAAAAAGAAAGTTTCCTCTCACTGCTAGGTTTCTCCCAAAGGATTAGAAAGCGTAATGGGAATGGTAGAAGACAGTGAATGTGTTCTAATGGCCAGCTGCAGGTTTCAAAGCTCATTTAAGTCTAATGGCGTACACATTATGGGATAGATGAACAGAGAAATGGATAGATGGGCATAGATGGGCAGATAGGCTAAAGAATGCACAAATGAATTAATTAAAGATTCAGTGATTGAACAGATCAATTAATATATTTGGCAGCAGAGTTTCAAAGTTATTTACTTCATTTTAGTGGTTGGAAAGGCTAGCAACCCCTTTAAAACATTTGGATAGAACATGAATTAGTTTAAAAAAAAATTTCTTCAGCCTCAGCTAGATGGACACGTCTCAAATAAAGAGATAAATGATTTTATTAATGAATTTATTAATAATGGGTAAGTGATTTATTAATTTTTAGTCAGCTAGTCCTATATGAAATTAAAACATTACAGTTGCTACACCAAATGCCAGTTGAACTCCCCCGGGAGCTTCTCATTGAGGATGTATTTGTGGTGGCTCCTCATCACGTCAATGAGGAAGCTATATATTATTATACCTTCCCAGTCCCAAATTGTGGTATCCATTGCCTTTGAAAATGAACAGTTATAGCCTCTCCTTTCTCTTACTAATGAGCTTTATTTATTTATTGGCTTACTAATTGTTTATAGTCTTTATCTTGTTCTAAAGAAGACTTCAAGTTGTCTTAATACAAGAGGTTAGCTTTATCATAGACTATTTCTAAATGTAGTGATCTTTATTTGGACATCTCACCTCAACTGCTAGAATGATAATAGAGCTATTGCCAGAATTCAGCAAGGTCTATTTTTGTTTTTCTTGACGTATATTTTAAGTAAAATGTTTTTAACATAGTTACCTCTGACAAATTATTAAAAAATTGCTGTTGTTTGATCAACATAGATTCTGATGTCTGATTTAGGTAGGGATTTAGGTTCAGAATAAGACTCACACAGTGGCAGGTCAACTAAAGGCAGAAAGTCGGCAAGAGAGCACGAGAAAAAATTGTATGAATTTCTGATACAGAAAAGGAATGACTAAGCTTTTAATGATTTACATAATGAAATAGGTTTCCTGACATCAACTCTTAAAGTTTAAATAAAAATATTTATTGCCATAGTATAGATCATTGCACAGCAATTTATGATCATCAACCTATTAATCCCCCTGATCCTTCTAAATTAATATCATCTACCTAATACGTATGTCAAAGTAAAATTGTAATGGAGCAAGAAGTGGTACAGTCTTATTTTAGTCTTATCAAAAGTTGGGAAGCTGTTTTTGAAACCGGAACCAAGTATTAGATGTCCTTTGGAAGTCAATGAATATGAAAAACAATTGTTTATTATGTGCCTTTTTTCAGAGTAACATTCATTAGTCTTTGTGGGAATTTGACAGTATGTATTTATAGTCTGAGTGATTTTATAAAATATTCTTGTCCCATTACTGCTTTTATTGTTAAAACTTATCTGTTAGCTTTCCTCTTTCTGTAAGATAAACATGAAAAAATCGTGTTTGTCATACCTTAAGATGAGTAATGTTCATGCTGTAAATGTAGGTGGTATGCTTTCTCCATGGAATGATCCACATAGGAAAATTAAGCAAATAAAACATTTAAAAAGGGGAGTTGGTTTAATATCTACCTTAAGAACACTGTATACTATTGGTAGGAATGTTAATATTTTTCTCTGTTTTGGTAAGTAATATAGTCTGCCTAATGAAAGTTAAATTCCTATGCTCATTGACTCAGCACTTCTACTTGTAGAAATAGACTATAGTGATAAATTATATAATCCATTCTGACTAGAATAGGAGATTTAAAAAAGTGAATACTTCAGAAACAGTGGTTCTTATTTATTTTATTTTTATTAAATTTATTGGGATGACATTAGTTAATAAATTATATAGGGTTTGGGTATAAATTCTATAATACATCATCTGTATATTGCATTGTGTGTTCACAACCCAAAGTCAAATCTTTCATCACCATATATTGCACTTCCTTACCCTCTTCTACCATCCCCCTCCCCACTTACCCTCTGGTAACCACTGAGCTGTCTTCTGTGTCTATAAGCTTTTGTTCATTTGTTTGTCTTGTTCATTTCTTGCTTTCAGTTTTATATCCCACATATGAGTGAAATCATATGGTTCTTGACTTTTTCTCTCTTCGCATGATAATCTCAGGATCCATCCATGTTGTTGCAAATGGCATTATTGCATCTTTTCTTATGCCTGAGTAATATTCCATTGTGTGTGTGTGTGTGTGTGTGTNTATATATATATATATATATATATATATATATATATATACACCACATCTTTATCCATTCATCTATCAAATGTGCAGCCACCTGAATAAAAGCTGTCACAGGGTACTAACTGTGGCTAGGAAAAATAACTCTAGATTAGATATCATCTAAGTCATATATCTGAATGAGAATACATACATATATTCCTAATATAGCCTTCAGCTTCACGCTCTCGAATTGCTGTTTTACTACCACTTTCTTATCCAATTAAACATATTTTCTTAGGATAGCTAGCCAAGCTTTGAGGATTTAAACCTTTCCTAGGTAAAATTTCCCTCAAATTTTTGACATTTGTAAGTGTAATAATGTATGCCAATCACTATCATAAAACCCTTCAAAGTAGACAGATATTTCCTAAAGTATATAATTGTAGAATTGCAAGGTACCCTTGCCTTAGGGTTTTTATCTCATTCATTCATTCATTCATTCATGCATGCAGATAAAAATATTTATGAAACACCTACTCATAGGATTATAATAAGTATGCATTATTATATGAAAAGCACCTAAAAACAGTGTTTGGCACACAAACATGACCCTATTGAGGAGTTTTACGTAGGGGAGTGACTTGACCCGATTTCCAATCCTAAACTCTCTCTGAGGGTGGGGGTACACAGAGAGTACCAACTGATCTAGGGAGACTGGTTATTAGAGTTGTCTGAGAGAGGTGATAGTTGCCCTGGACTATGGTTGACATTAAAAATAAACAGGTAGACAAATTCTAGATATTTTTAGGAGAGAAAAATCAATAGGAATGCAAAATAATTGATTAACTATTAGATCGTGGAAATCGGATGGGGTAACTGGATGAGGCAATTACTATATTTTAGTAGGAATTGACAAGAGGCTGCGCCTCTACTTCATTGTTCTTTTCCTTTCAGTATTTCTCAACTGCGAGTCTTGCCTAGAATCATTAAAGGAGATATTTAAAGCTACCCATCCCTTATTCACACAGATCTGCCTCCCCAGGACAATGGAGAATAGCTTAGAAACACTGCGCTAGGTGATCCAATACAGTAAGGCCCCAAATGACATCATTTTGTTATAAGGCTGATGAGATCCCTTAGCAACTCGTTTATATCAATTCGCCTGCGGTAAAATTGGTTTCATTATATGTTGTTTTGCTTCAAGTCACAGAACCTATTGACAATGTTCAGTCAGGACCTACTGTATATCTTCCATTGAGAAACATTACCATAACACTTTAATTTTTATTTTACACTGTCAACTTCCTTGCATTCCTTTTTTTTTTTTTACTTTTTGAATATGTTAAACCAAGACTACAAAAATAATCAGTGTGGTTCTTTTTCTATATTTTCATGTTTTCCTCTCCACGTGAAGTTTCCAAATATCCAAATTGACAAGCTATTGCTTCATCTTAGACCTCCCTGTGGTGGCAACACTAGTTTGGATAAGCAAGATACACCTAACTAATTGTACCTTCAGCATTCATTTACAGTAGAAATAGTTTTGCATTAACTACACTTCTCTTCTCCTTTTCCAACCTTGTGTGATTTATTGGGTTGTCGGAAAAGTCATGACGCATTTTTGCAACAAAAAACATAGAAAAAATACCTCATGACTTTTCCAACAACCCAATAGCACACATCATTGGGATGGGCACTATAAGAATGTTGGATTTAGTCATAAAACTTTTATGAAACCATAGAAATGTGCAGAAACCCTGTTAGCTCCTATTTTTTTTCCCCAGTATTTGGCATCCTGTTGATAATGTGTTTGTTTCCAATAATTCTTACCAACTTGACAATAACAATAGTATTATAATATGAATTGTGACTTTCCATTTTTATCGAATTTTGTTTTCTGCTTAGTGATTTCATTTAAAATTTACCTATTTTGATTTATTTTTGGCCTGGTACAGACTAATACGCCTTGAGGTTAATATTAATAAAACTACAGAAGAAAATATGTTATATATGTTGAATAATATCCACAGAACTATTTCAGATGAAGGTAAACATACATACATTGTTTGAAAAGGAAAATGAGTTGAAACAAAAATC